CTGGGTTTGTTCTGCATGACAAACCAATCTGGAACTCCAGGTGCCCATGAACCCACTGGCCCGGTTGTTGAACTGTCTCTTTCGTCCTTCGAATCCATCTTCGAAACTGGCTGTGAAGGCCACTACTTGGCCCTGACTTTCTGTTTTAGGCCCAATTCAGGCCTTCGATGAAGATGACCACCTTCTGGCCTGTGTGAGACTGGACTAGAATGCCAATCCTTGGCTTTGATCCCGTAACTTGAACCCCTTTCAGATCTTCTTTCAAGATGATTACCGTCCACTCTGTGATAGCTAGGTGGCCTAGATTCATGTAGAGGTCTCTTACCTTTGGAGTGCATCCTAGTGACTGTTGGCTCAACCATTAATGGTTGCTGCCTAGTACCAATTGGATATGGCCTTTTGTTATAAGCACAGGTTGGTTTAGGACGCCTCTGCACATCTTTGTAATATTGCTTCCCATCAATTGGAAGTCCTTTCAACCACTTGTAGCTTAGCCTGCATCTGGGACACATTCTTTGCATGACAGCTGCTTCTAAAGAATCATCATCCAGTACTTCTTTATCAGAATCTTCCCTCTGGTCTGAGAAACCTTGTCCAATTGTTGGTAGATTTCCAATGTCTTTCTTGACAATTGTCTGACTGGCAACATGCATTTGCACATTGACTTCTTCCAATTCTTTTAGGGACAAGTTCTGGAAGTTTGGCACAATAACATTGGCTGCCACTTCTCCAATTTCTAGGAACAGATTAGTGTCAATCCCCATGGCCTTTTCTGTTTTAGCTGGGAATTTTAGACTCCCCTTTCGAATCTGCTCTTGGATCTTGTCTCGAAAAATAATGCAGTTTTTAGTTAAGTGAGACCAAGAATTATGCCATTTACAATACACTTTTCCCTTAAGTTCCTCTGGAGACGGGATTTTGACTTCTTTTGGTAACTTCAGGAAGTTTGCAGCAAGCAAACGATCAAAAATGTCATCTGCCTTTGTTAAATCGAAAGAATATTTCCTATAAAGGTCTTTCTTTTTAAACTGCTGGTCAATTGCTGTGTCTTTATGAATTAATGCTTCACAGATCACAGGTTTTTTCCCTACAATCTCTGCTGCATCAATCTCATAATTAGGATCTTTATAATATGTCTTGTATGATGCATTAATTCGATCTTGTTCTTCTTCTAGTAATATTTCATACCCAGACACCTTTTAGGTTAATTCCACTAAGTCTCTAAACTCAGTTGAGTTAAACTTCTTTCGAAGCCTAAACTCTAGACCATTTTGAGCCAATCTCACAAATTCAGGCTCTGGTAAGATGATCCTACATTTATTTCGTGCTCTTTTAAATCTGGCAATAAACTGAGTAGCCTTCTCATCAGGCCTTTGACTCAATCTTGCCAAGTCTGCCATGGAAACCTTTAGCTCTGTTTGGAAGAATTGAGCATGAAATGCCTCTTCCATTTGTTGCCAAGTTTGGATAGAGCCAAGTGTAAGGTTAATATACCATACAAAGGCTACCCCAGTTAGAGAATTTGAAACAATCTTAACTTCATATAGTCATTGTTAGTAAATTCACCACACTGAGCAGCGAACCTAGCAATATGTTTAACCGTTGACTGGTTTCTATTCCCATAAAAAAGAGCGAAGTTGGGTATCCTAAACCCCCTTGGGTATTCATGTACCCTATTTATCCATTATGGATATGGCTTCCTGTACACAGGAGTTTGAACCCCCCGAGCCATGGGTCCACACATCTCTCTAACAATATCAACAATTTGGTCCCTAGGGACCATATTTTGTGCTTGTTGAACTACTACCGGAGGAACAAACACAGGATTTGGTAGACAACCTTGTGCCTGGGGTCCTCTTGGTCCATAGGGTGGTATGTTTGGGACTGGTTGTCCCTGTGGTGCTGGTTGCTGTTAGGGATATGGGTGACCCCTTTGAGCCTGTTCTACGAAAGGACCTACGAAAGGTGCTAGAACAGGTGTTGTGTCTCTTCCAGTTGTAGAAAAACCTTCCAACCCCCCGGGTATAAATTTGAACAAAGGATTAATGAACCCCCTCGTGCTAGGTATAGCTTTGAACATGGGATTTGGAACCATCCTTACACCATTATCCTGTGTTGGGCCAGATCCACCAATTTGCATGGCTTCACTGTTAAGTAATGAAGCATTTTGATTTGCCATAGGCCTTGAAAGAGGCCCATACCAAGATTGAGGTGGTGGTCTTTCATGGTTTTGGTTACTAGTTTGACCATTAGTATGCCCATTACTCTGCATAGGCTGTTTATCTCTAGCCAATCTTTGCTGAGGGGCATTTGAATTTTTCTCTATATGCCTTGCATTAGTTGGTTGATGAGTATTCATTCGATCCAAAAAGGATGTTGTCCATCTTTCCATTATGTTTATTAACTACTGTCTCATGGCATCTACTAGGCTTCCCCATGGATTCATTGGCTGAGTAGATGAAACAGTGGGCGGTCCAATTCCTTGGCCTCGCCCAATACTTCGAACATGTGGTATTTATTTCGAAGTGTTGGTCTGCTCGACCATACGTTCTGACACACCAGATGCCTCCATAGGATGTGTCATCACATTTTCCTCTGGATTAGACGTTTCTATCTCTCCTTCCACGCCTTTTTCCAAGCGTTCATTTTCTCCTTATCTTTTACGTCTAGCCATTTTAATTCAGGTCCCACTAGGACTGCCAAAAATATATGTTAGCTTTTTGGCTTTCGAAGGTTATTACAGTAATTTTGAGCGTGCCAACAAGGATCAATCAGTCCTTACAGAAAGTTAATTGCCAACCAATTATCAGATGATTGTGTTTTAGTTCTTTCAGCCTCAATGAAGAGGACTTTTACTGGTGGCTTTGCTTAGGAGGAATAAATTGACAATGATTAAATGAAGAACAATTGTAGTATTTCATTAAGTAAAACGAAAGGCTTACAATGATCCAATTCAGCCTCGTAGAGATTTACAGCAACAATCTACTTAAAACTACTCCTATGAGCGAAATGTAGTACAGGAATCTGAAGTACATAAATATAAAGGATAAGAAATGTAAAAACTAGAAGGAAAAATAATGAAGATAAACTGGTTTTTTGGATCTGAGTCGGGGACGCTTTCTGGGGCCTTCTTTGCTATTTATATTTCTCAATGGCAACTGTCGAACTGCATTTCTAACCGTCGAATCATGCTTCCATGATTGTTGATCATGTTGCCTTATAGTTAGCTCTACTATGCCATATTTGTAGTTAGGTTTCCCTCTTGATTTTGAATTTAAATATGAATAACCGTTGAAGCCACGTTAACTTGCATTTCTTTGCTGATCCAGTGTTACACAGATCTACACAAACCAATACTAACTGCCACGTGTGTGATTACGATTGAAGGCTTGAATAGTCTTCCCGTATTGCCTTTATTTTGCCATGCGTCGAACTGTGATTGGCTCGTACAAAATATATAGCCAATAGTGATCACCCTTTTATTCTCTAAAATATCACTAACCTTCCTATTAGCATACACTATTTGTCTCTAATGGTCTTCTACATTTCCTCTATTTTTTCCAACAACCAGTACACAATATCCACCCTAACCTCCATCAATCATAACCACTCACTATTGTTAGCCTCTACATGCGAAGCTAGAACCTCAATCTCCCAACACCATAGCTACCACTTTAACAACTGCTTTATTTACTCCATCACATCCTTTCCTCTGATCGCCACTGCATCAGCCCCTAACTCAATCACCTCCTATCTCCACCAATCAAAACAACCAAGGAAAAAACAACCACCACCATTCACCTCCACCAAACGCAAGACCAACCAAAAGCAATGGTCACCTACCACCTAGTTTCACCAACATTACATTAGAATCACTACATCTTCTCCTTTTTTATTTTTTTATTTTTTAACTTCAAAACCATACCAACACAAATCCACCACCAACACCACCTATGTTTTTTCTTATATAGAGACCACCTTTATCGTTAATGTCCATTCTCTTCCCTTTATCCTCCCTTGCCTATTTTCCATCAACTATAGGTTGGACCAATTTAATCGAGACAACCAACATTGACAAGTTGTGTTGAGATTGTCATTACTGTCGCAAATCGTCAACGATGGTCCATTTCTCGCAATTATCACCACTGTAACAAATCTACCCTAATCTTCATTGTTGTCAATCATCTCTTGCTCACAATCATTACCACTATCGTTGATATACTCCATCACCGATAATCACCATCAATTGTTTCTTCTTTGAGATCGTCACCACTACTGTAGATCTACCTCTATTATCAATTAGCATCTTCGATCTCTCTTCCCCGCATTTATTACCACTACCACAGATCTACCCATCTTTGATTATTGCGGGCAAAAGTTGACTTGATCACAACAAGAAAATGGGGGAAAAAATTGCAATGGTGCTAGTAGAGCTAGTTATGGTATTCATCTAAAAAAACCCAGTTATGGTACTTTGGAGGGGGTGAGGAGGAACAATGGTTGTGCTTAAGGTAAAGAATGTTAAAATTAATGCCATATTTACATTGCATACGTTAGATACATTGGATACATTGGGTTCATGTATTCTTTGTATTCATGTATTTTTATATTCATATGTTTTATATTTATTAGGTTTATTGTCTAGATTATATTCATGTACCTAGTTAGTTGTAAGGTTGTTCATTGAACTTATGTATAACCTTCTCTATATAAAAGGATGTAAGCCTATGGGCAAAGAGAAGAATAAGAGAAAAAAATTCAAGATCAATACAAGTTAAATTCAATACAAAATAATAGTTCATTTTAGAGAGGGTTTTATCAAAAGCTAACAGAAGTGGTATCAAAGCTTTGGTTGGGTCAAGAACAAGTTGGGCGTAAAGATCGGATACGGGAAAACAAGCCCCGAAGAAGAATAAGCCGACGTCCATGGCGAATTCCAACAACCAAAATGTATCTACTCTTATCTTTAATGGTGAAAATTTTGATTTTTGGTATGTGAAATGAGAACTATTTTTGTTTATACGGATCGTTGGGATCTTGTTGAGAATGGTTTCGAGGAACCTGAAGATGAAGGAGCTTTGACAAATCCCCAAAAGAACCAATTGAAAGAGCAAAGGAAGAAGGATTTAAAGGCTCTCTCTTTGATTCAACAAGAAGTTTCAGAAGCAATCTTTCCAAGAATTATCAATGCTACAAAAGCAAATGAGGCATGGGATATTCTTCAAAAAGAGTATAGAGGCAATTTGAAGGTAAGAACCATCAAACTTCAATCACTGAAAAAAGATTTTGAAAATATAAAGATGAAGGATGTGGAATTATTGAAGGATTATTTTTCTAGCTTTACGAAACTTATGACCCAAATGAAAATTTATGGGGATAATATTTCTAATCAAAGAGTTGTTGAGAAAATTTTGTTAAGTTTGTCGGAGAAATATAATTCTATTGTTGTTGCCATTGAAGAAACTAAAGATCTTGCTGATTTGAGTATTGAAGAATTGATGGGTTCAGTTAAAACATTTGAGCAAAGGTTGAGTAAGCAATTTGAAAAGTCAATTGAAAATGTCTATCACTCCAAGCTCAATGTTAGTACTTTTAATTCCCAAGGAAGAGGAAGAGGAAGAGGCAGAGGAAGAGGAAGAAATGCAAATGGAAGAGCAAGAAATCCAAAAGGAAGAGAAAGGTCTAATTTTCAAGGAAAGGAAAATGAAGAGTCCACTTAACAAAAGTGTGGAATTTGCAATCGAAGCAATCATGTTGATAAAGACTGTTGGTTTCAGAAAAAGCCAAAATGTTACAATTGCAACAAATTTGGGCATGTCAAGAAGGATTGGCAAGTCAAGAGCACTCAACAAGCTAATTTCCCGAGAAGCAAGAAAGTGAAGGGCACATGTTCTATGCTTGTCACAAGGCATCGGATCAAAACAAAAGTGCTTGGTTTCTTGATAGCAGATGTAGCAATCGCATGACATAAAATGAGAGTATTTTTGTGAAAATTGATACTTCCTCAAGTTCTCAAGTAAAAATGGGAAATGGTGCTTTAGTCCAAACAAAAGGAAAATGTTCTATTGCTATAGAAACCAAGATAGTACAAAATTCATTTCCGATGTTCTCCTAGCTCCAGACTTGGACCAAAATTTGCCAAGTGTTGGACAACTTATGGAGCATGGATACCTTGTTCACTTTGAAGAAGAATTTTGTAAAATTTTTGACAAAGGAGAGAGAAGCCAAGTTGTAACAAAAATCAAGATGGAGAATGTTAGCCCTAATGTGTTTTGATGATTATTTTGATTATGTTTTGATTTTATTCTTGATAAATTAAATTGATCAATATAATATGTTTTATCCATGTCAATTTAATCTATCTTCTCCTGATGCTAACCATGTTCTTGAAGGCCAATATGCAGCTTAAACAGAGCCTAAAACAGAATCCAAGACAACACTAAAACAGCCTAGCACCGTAATAGCCGAAGCAGTCCAGCCCAAAGGGAGTTGAACGTCTGGCCATGGTATTTTGGCCTAGTTTTGCTCCAGTTCAGTTCTGTTTCACTTCGGCTGTCAAACCAGTAGTATACTCAACGACTGCGACAGTCATCCTTGACGACCGGGACTTGACCAGACATCGGGAGGACATCCAAGAGGATATCCAGGCAGATGACCACCAAGAGCAAAACTTCATCTGGGACATCTGGGTGGACGACCACTCTGTGCTGCAACGACTATTTTTCAAAAGTACTTGCCAACAATCAGACCTGTGTTTCAACTCCTTCAATAACTAATCTTGTATGGGGAATGCAAGTTTGAGTAGAGTAGATTTAACTGAAATCTTAATCAATCTTCTCAACACATGAAATAGACAACGGTTGATCAAGTTCTTCTTCATAAATAGAAGTGCTCCTGCTACTGAACAAAAAGAGACAACAATAGCAACAACACAAGCAAGAAATCATATTTGATTTTTCATCAATCTCATTCTCTTTGATTATTTGAGAGCTTCTTCATCTGGGTTACATTTCTTCATCTCAAATATTATATACAGAGCCTTAAGCATTAAGCCCATTTACCTATGTGAGGTTTATTAATATTTTCCTTGAGTTTCAATATTGTGTATCTATCTTTGAGAGATTATTGTAAGCTTTCTTTGAAAGCAAAAACACTATTTCAATCTTGTAAAAGTGTTGCAAACACTGTGTCCTTGAAATTTTGAGAGTGATTGTGAATCACCTAAGATTTGCAAGGGTTGAGGCTTGTGAAGCCTGTGTAAAATCTGTGGAGGATTGCTCCATGCGTTGAGAGGTTGCTAGCACCCTTGTGAAGCTAGAGGATGGTGGAAATTCTCAAGTGAAGCTTGAGTAGTGGATGTAGGCTTGGCTGAAGCCAAACCACTATAAATCTGTTTGCCTCCTCTTCTCTTATCTCTTTGTTTTCCTACTACTGCCATAGCTATCTATTATACTTGTGTTCATCATTCACTAAGTTAGCTATCTCACTGCATTTGTCAAACTCTCTGTGTTAACATCATTCACTGATATAGCTACAAGAGTATTTGTTATAGTTGAATTAATTATCAACTCTCTTCACTCGTCATATTTAAACTATCTAATATTCATCTTCCTTTGAGAGTTAGAGTTAAAAGTACTTATCTTGCTACATAGCCAAAAATCTTTCACTGTTTTACTTCACTATTTGTTCATCTTTGTACTTAATTCTTTAATTGCTAGTTATTCTCTAAATACATTTTTATCTGTTAATCTCTTGTTGTATTTATTTTTATTGGGGGCATTATTATTTTTATTTGTGTAAACCTAATTCACCCCCTTCTTATGTTTCTAAGAGGGAGATTTATAGGCTGGCTTGGGCCGTGGTAGAAGCCGGGCAAATTGAGGGCCGAGCGTGTTTGGACCAAGCTAACTTGGGCTTGTCCAGAGGTGGTTTTGCCCTGTCGAGGCCCAGGACCATGTTTGGACCGAACTATTTGGGCTTGTCCATGTCCAGTGTCGGTTTTGCTCAACCAAGGATCAGGTCCCGTGTTCGGGCCAAGCTTACTTGGCCGAGATGATCGCCTGCCAACCCGGGTTCCATGGTTCGCATGTTTAGCTCGACAGGAAAGGCCTTCTATTTACCGGCTTGACCTGTCTTGAACTCGGCTCTGCCGGAATGCTACTGAGCTCGGTTGTTATGCAGCTCAGCGAGCGGAGCACTCGGACTCGTTACGCAGCACGGTCGTGTGAGGCCAAGGTGATGCCACCAGGCTGCCGAGTTCCCGTTAATGTTGTCTAGCGGTTTGGTTAGGTGGTGTTCGCTGGATTTGTGCTGACAGATAGGAGAACAGCTCCACGTGTCAAAAGACTAATGGGTGCAGAGTAGAGCGCGTAAAGTATATAAGCATGACTGCGCCCCCCATGCTGGGGATGGAACATCATTTGGTGAGATACAGTTTGAGATTGATAAAATTTCTCTCTCTCTCTCTCTCTGAGTGTGTGCTAACTTGACCGTCGGAGGGGTTTTTCGGCAACACACCGCCGGGTAGCTTACCGCCATTGTGTTCTCAGGTCGATCGGATAGATTCAGAGCTTGGACAAAAGGAGTACAAATAGCATCGAATATCTTTTCCCCATACAATTGGCACCGTCTGTGGGAAGGCCTTGCAGACACAACCTTGTCCTCTGAGCTCATCCGATCATCGTCCATGGCGAACAACAATGAAATATTGTTGTCTGCCATTGATGGTGTTACCCCGGAGTCTGCCAGACGGAGAGATGGACTCCCCGCCGTTCAGAACATGGCGGACTTGGAGACTTCCCCAGGAGGACTTCCAAGAGATGCGCGAGATAAGTGCGCTAGAAGTTTTGGTCACTCTCGGAGCCCAGACGGACACCGACGGCGAAGAGAATCGCACGCTAGACGTCTGGAGCACAAGTTAAGGGACCAAGACACCGTCATCCGTAGAATGGCAGCGGAGATAGAAGCACTCAAACGGCAGGTCAAGGGGAAGGGTGTTGCTAGAGTGGGAGACCACAGTGAGCGCACCCAACCACGCCGTTCAGGCAGCCAGAGTTAGCGACACAAGACCTCCCTTTCTATCACCAGAAGTTATAGGGTTGGAGATTTAGAAGCGCCTGTAGAGAAGTCTAGCGCACAAAATAGTACCTACCATCCCTCGCGTTCGTCGACGACGTCGAGATATTCCTACTCCGTTCGCTCAGAGGACTTGCGGGTTGTTTTGAAGGAACGGGCTCGCCGACGAGAGGCTCAAAGGGTGCCGGCGTTCCAGCAGCTGTCTTACGGGGGTCACGCCAGCGAGGAGGTCATAATGCCACCACCCCACCTAGCCATGCCTGTCCCTCTGGACACAGATTTGGCAAGGCTGAACGCCACCCCCTTCTCCCTTGAGATAAAAACCACTCCGCTCCTAGCGGGCTTTCACCAGCCCAAGATTACGCTTTATGACGGAAAGACCGATCCATACATGCATGTAAGCCACTTCCGACAAGTTATGGCCAGACATAGGTGCAATGACGCCCTTATGTGCCTTATTTTCCCGTCAAGTTTGGGCGAGTTGGGTTTGAAATGGTTTGAGAGGCTGCCGGAGGAAAGCATCGAAAGGTGGCAGCAGTTGGTGGAAACATTCGTGACTCGTTTCAAAACCAATACCAAAACGCCAGAGGAAGTGGACCACATTCTCAGTGTCAAGATGGAGTCGAGTGACACTCTCAAGGCATATAACTCCAGGTACTGGGAAACCTTCAACGAGATTCTAGATTGCCCAATCAACCTGGCAATCACCCAATATAAGCGCGGTCTCCCGGTCGGACATAGGCTGTGGGACTCGCTTACAATAAACCAGCCGACATCCATGGTGCAACTAATGTAGCGCATCAATGAGCACCTCCGAGTAGAGGATGATGCGTCAGCATCCATGGCGAAGACAAATCCGGTGGTAACAGACAAAAGGGTGGCTGGCAAGGTGCACGCGGTCGGACATGAGACTAACCGTCCAAGTGATCGCGCTGGGGAATTACACCGTGGACCAAATCATCGAAGCTGGGGTAGAGGTTGCCGCAACAACCGAGTAGAATATCCCCGCGATGACGTGGCTGATGCTAACAGAAGGTTGAATGCCCGAACGGGCATCACCACGGTATTTAAGATTCTAATCTATCGCATACTAAGTGAAATCCATGACGAGGATTACGTCCGGTTTCCTGCTAAGTTGGGCGATGCGCAAAAGGGCTTTAATCCGCGGTATCGCTGCACATATCACAGGGAGCGCGGACACCAGACAAAGGACTGTTTGCCTTTGAAGCAACACTTGGAGGAGTTAGTCGCAGCCGGTCACTTAGACCTTTACATTGATGGGGGCGTTAAGGCCGCGCATCCCACCCCGACTGATCCACTTGGACCGAATGACTTAGAGGCGCCCCCTTAAGGAGTGGTCAATGTGATCCACGGTATAGTGGAGCCAGCGCGTGTATACAAGCTCCAAGGAATGATCAAAAAGACGGAACATATGAGGGAGGTTTTGTCAGTCCAGCCCGCGATCAAACGGGGGAAGACCGAGAAGACAAATGTGATTAGTTTTTCATCTAGCGACCTAGAGCGTATTCAAACGCCGCACAATGACGCCCTGGTAGTCACCCTCCGTGTCGGAGACTTCAATGTCAAGCGCATCCTGATTGACCAAGGAAGCTCGGTTGAGATTATGTATTACGACGCGTTAGAGAAACTCAAACTCCGGGATACAGACTTGGCTCCGGCAACTTCGCCACTAGTGGGTTTCAACTCGCAACCGGAGTGGCCTATGGGAAAGATAATCTTTCCAGTCAAGGCCGGATCCGTGGTCAAGCAAGTGAAGTTCTGGGTATTGAAGGTGCCGTCCACAT